GGCTGAGGAAATTATTCCAGAGAAGCTTGTGGATCCCATGATGAATGTGTCCATTTTCCTCCCAGGTTCACTTACCAGGTCATACCAAGCAGATGAATCCAGCAAATCATTCCCAGGTGTCAGGCTTTGTCCTTCTGGGGCTCTCTCAGGTATGGGAGCTCCGGTTCCTCTTCTTCATTGTCTTCTCTGTTGTGTATCTTTTGACTGTAATGGGAAATCTCCTTATTGTGGCCATAGTGACCTCTGACCCTCGCCTTCACACAACCATGTACTTTCTCTTAGGCAATCTTTCTTTCCTAGACTTTTGCTACTCTACCATCACAGCACCTAGGATGCTGGTTGACTTGCTCTCAGGCAACCCCATCATTTCCTTTGGCAGCTGCCTGACTCAGCTCTTCTTCTTCCACTTCATTGGAGGCATCAAGATCTTCCTGCTGACCGTGATGGCATGTGACCGCTATGTGGCCATCTCCCAGCCCTTGCGCTACACGCTTATTATGAACAGGACCGTCTGTGGGCTCCTCATGGTAGCCTCCTGGGTGGGGGGCTTCATCCACTCCATTGTACAGGTGGGACTAACTATCCAGCTGCCATTCTGTGGGCCTGACAAGCTGGACAACTTTTACTGTGATGTGCCTCAGCTGATCAAATTGGCCTGCACAGATACCTTTGTCTTAGAGCTTCTGATGGTGTCTAATAATGGCCTGGTGACTTTGATGTGTTTTCTGGTGCTCCTGGGATCCTACACGGCACTGTTATTCATGCTCCGAGGCCACTCATGGAAAGGCCACAGCAAAGCCCTATCCACCTGTGCCTCCCATATTGCTGTAGTGACCTTAATCTTTGTGCCTTGTGTCTACATCTATGTAAGGCCATTTCGGACACTCCCTATGGACAAGGTAGTCTCTGTGCTGTACACAATGGTCACTCCCATGCTGAATCCTGCCATCTATACCCTGAGAAACAAGGAAGTGATCATGGCCATGAAAAAGCTGTGGAGGAGACAAAAAGACCTTCTGGGTCCCCTGGAGCACTGACCCCCTGATTAGCAGAGGCAGAGCCTGATAATCTGAGAGCTGCTCAAGAAGACCTACAAAGTAGCTAAAACTACTTGCTTCTCTATTATTCTCAACCTCAGTCAAGTACTGGGGACCTGAACTTTTAACACAGTTAGGAAATGGAATGAGTATCCTAGAACTTCTCCCAAGTGCCTCCTAGAGAAAGAGTCTCAGGTGTTATGCAGAAATGGTGTTTGGCTCAGATGGCACTTGCCCATATGATGATGTTGGCCCTGCTGAGACAGTTCCAGCTGCATGGAGGTGGTACATCTGGTGTTTCTTTTCTGATATTTCTTCTTGGACACAAAATATATCAGAGGAACTCAAACAACTATAAACTTCCTAGAGACAGGCAGGATCTGGAGGTTAACATAAATGTGGGATTCTGAGTTCTGATTTTGGAAGGCTGATTGAATTTAATGTCAATGAAGAGAAAGGGAATTGTCTTGGGAAAATTACTTCCTACTAGTAGTTTCTTAAGGTATTCACCATCATCATGATCTAAATAATATTTGTTAAGACCTTACTATTTGACAGGCATTGTATCAAGTGATTTACATTTACTATTTATTTTAATTCTCTCAACATTCTTAGGAGGTAAGTATCATCTTCATTTTAAAGACGAATCTGTGGCAGCTGAGAGACATTGAATAATTTATTTATGTCTCTAGAGCTTGTTTCTGGAATCCAGCCCAGGTCTGTTTAACTCTGGAACCCAAGTTCTGGATAATATCTAAAACTCTTTGTAGCTACTAAGGGTCACTATGTCTTAGTGAGTTTGTGCCAGTTAAATTGGCATCATGGGTAGAGATAAACTATTCTAACTTGGTCTTGGTCTACTGTAGTTGGGAGAGTGAAAGGGACTGGATTTTGGAATGCGGGGACATGGAGTAAGAGATCATTTGTTGACAGCTGAACCCAATGAAAAATGCAGAATTGTGTTATAAGGTGGAAGGGTAGATTATCCTCCAGTCCCTAAATAAGGAGTGGTACAAGATAATACATAAGTACCCCTAGAAGCTCTACTCAGTTTAAGAGGGAATGGAGAAACAGTCATGGTCTTTTCTTACATTGTCTCTCTATTCTCCCCTCACATCTTAACTCCCTGATCCATATTCCTGCATCTCCTACCACCAAGTGAACCATTTGGCTTCTTACCTTTATCATAGGACCTGCACCTTTTTATCTTCACTCCCATACCTGAGAATCAATTCTAAAATAAAGCAATGTTTTGTTTATGTATGTTGAATGTTATTTAATCATTTGGTGATACCTACCCTGGATGTGGGAAGGGAAGAGGATGATATTTAACAAACGTCTTTGCAAACTTAGCATTAAGTCATCACCCATCACTTATATCTTAGTAAGTAAAGTAGTATAGTGAAGTTCCTTTCCACAATGATAGCCAGCTGAGAGCGAATGTTTAGTACACAGGGCCTAGAGCATGGGTCAAACTTGAAAGAGGAAAGGAAGAGGAGATAGGACAGCATAGAGCAAACACATAAGCTATTTAAAAAGAGTATCTTTTAGTGGAAAGATAATTTTGTAATCGGAAAGCTCAGGTCAGAGTTCTCTTTCTATGCAGTTTGGTTTAGTAGCAAGAGTTTAATTCTCCTGCCACTATACTTTGGACCTGTAGCAGGGTCAAATCTTGATTTATACAAGTCATATGCACAAATACACTGAGGAGGACATATAGGTGCAAAGAAAATGCAGCTTCTTTATTTTTCAATAACCAAAATGATTTTTCTTATAAGCGTCATCTTGCTGGATAGTAGGGGAAAAGAGCTAAAATTTAGGCAGGTCTAGTACACTTACTTCTATGCGTAAAAATGCACATAGTCCCCTTAAGTAGGTGGTCATTCTCTTCAGAAAATAACGCAGTCACCCTTCGGATTCTGTCCTCCCCCTCTTTCCAACTTAGTCCCTTTGCCAGCCTGGCTCTTTCATAGGCTGTGAGATCTCTGGGGGCAGGATCAAGTCTGCTTCCAAACTACATATTGTCCATTTTTCTCAGCCTCCCCTGCCAATTGTAAAGTCATAACTAGTCCATCTAGGCCACACTATGACTTCATATTTGATCCTCTAAAATCCACTTGTCTCCCTCTAACCAGTTGTCCCCACAACCGCTGATAGATTTTTTTCAAAAATACGATTTGATCACTTCCTTGCTTAAAACCCTTCAAAGGCTTTTCATTGCCTTTACAAAGGAAGAAAAATCCACATAAACCTTATCGATAGGGTCCTGTCTGAACTGACCTCGGCCCACCTCTCCACTTCCAGTCCTCTTGTACATTTGTTTCTCTTCATCCCTCTTGTCTTACTCTGGGTCCTGGCAAACACTACTCGCTCTCTCTGGAATTGTCTGGATAACTGCGTCTCAGCCTGAGGCCACAGTTTAAAGCTCATCTCCTCAGAGGTGTGTTCCCTGGACTTTCATCCAAATTATTTTTCCTTATTAGCCCCTTTAACAAAACTCAACTCTTTTCTCAAAAACATTGATCACAGATTGCAATTACATACTAAGGTGTGTATTTAGGTTTTCTTGTTTGTTTGTCTGTTTGTGTTTTATTTTTTTTCTTTCTTTCTTTTTTTTTTTTTGCCAGCCATCCCAACTATACTATAAATTCTATAAAAGTGAGAGCTGTCTACTTTGTTTACTACCATATACTGAAGGTCTAGCTCCAGAGCCTAGATTCCAGAGCAGCAACAGAGCGGCCTCAGGTGCAGAATTGAGGGGACATTCACTCCCAGGTTTGTGCATGGCCTGACCCTGAACTTGCGTGACCACTGGGGCATGTGTGTCTTTAAAATTTGTGCCCTACATGTCTTTCTTGGCCCAAGACATCACCCTAGTCTCATCCCTGCCTAGCTCAGTGCCTTACACATACTGGTATTTAATAATATTTTTTTTAAAAAAGATTTTATTTATTTATTCGAGAGAGAGATCCCACGAGAGAAAGCACGAGCAGGGTGAGGGGAGAAGGAGAAGCAGGCTCCCCACTGAGCAGGGAGCCCCTGCAGGACTTGATCCCAGGACCCTGGGATCATGACCTGAGCTGAAGGCAGACGCTTAACGACTGAGCCACCCAGGCACCCCTAATAATATTTCTTAAAGGAATAATGGAATGATTGTCCTTGTATTTAGACTTGGGAATTTGGGATATCCAAATGTTTTGTTGGTCACAGCATTCTTTCTTTATGTGATTCCTATAGGAGCTGCTAGTCACATAAAGAGCAATAGCAAGTGAAGGAACTATTTATTACCATAACCAAAATGTAATTTTCTGTATATAGGTTCTGTTTAATCTTGTTTGTAATTCTCAGTCTAGGTGGAAGGCCGCAGAAACCCTCTTACTCCCCTCTAAGCTCCTGATCTGAATCTCCATGTTTCAGCATCCCCTGCTTGGCTTCATCATACAGGATCCTGAAGCAGGAATAAGTGTGCTTGAACACGCATGTAAGGAAGAAGACAAGCGGTCTCCCTGCATGAAGGTCACATGCTTACCTGCCCCAAAGGAAATGTGTCCTAACCAGAATCCTGACACTTGGCAAGTTGGATCCTTCTCTGGGGGAAGGCATCAGGAAGATAGGAGGGAGGAAAATGAAGGCTCACTCATTATTTTATATTGTATATTTATGGAGACTTTTTTTAAGATTTTATTTATTTGAGAGAGAGAGTGTGCATGTGTGCAGGAGGGACAGAGGAGAGAGAAAGAATCCTGGGTGGACTCCGTGCAGAGCCTGACTCGGGGCTTGATCCTACCACCTGGAGATCATGACCTGAGCCAAAACCAAGAGTCAGATGCGTAACTGACTGAGCCACCAAGGTGTCCCATATGGAGACTATTTTTTAATTGTCTGAGAAAAGTGTAGGGTGTTGCTTGAGTGATTTAAACTTCAAATACATTTTTTAAAAATTGCATACATTAATCTCCTCGTCTAATATTTCCTTTTACTTGTGACCTTCATAGTCTCTCGCTGCCATGGTTCTGTGCCACCTCAGGGCATGTCTCAGTGCCTGCTTCACCTTCTCATTGCGGAGACTGAAGATGAACGGGTTCAGGAGGGGTGTGATGATACAGCTCAGGACTGAGGCACCTTTGTTGAGCAGTGTGTACTGAGCATCTGACATACGGATGTAGAGAAAAATGGAGCTGCCGTAGACGATGATGACAACAGTAAGATATGAGGCACAAGTGGAGAATGCCTTCTTTCGCTCAGCAGCTGTGGGGGCCTTGGAAACAGTGGCAAGAATGCAGGCATAGGAAACCGAGGTCAGTGCCAGTGAGCCCAGTAACACGGACATGGAGAGCATGAAAACCACCAGCTTCAGGAGGCGGGTGACTCCACAAGAGAGCCTCAGCAAAGGCCAACTGTCACAGAAAAAGTGGTCAATACCATTGGGGCCACAGAAAGGTAGACAGGCCATGAGGATGGTGGGGCAAAGGACCCAGAGGAATACAGCTAGCCAGGAGGCCAAAACGAGTTGGGAACAGACACGACCACTCATCAGAGTCTCATAGTGGAGTGGTCGGCAGATTGCCAGATAAAGATCCAGAGACATGACAGCTAAGAGGAAGAAGTCGGTGGTGCCTAGGAGGAAGTAGAGGTAGGACTGGAGGATGCAGCTGGCAAATGAGATGGAGTGATCCCCTGTGAGAATGATGACGAGCATCTTGGGAACCACAACAGATACGAGCAACATCTCCAGGAAGGACAGGTGCCTCAGGAAGAAGTACATCTGTGTGTGCAAGTGAGCAGGTTGCCTATGGCTGTTACAACGTAGGTCACCATCAACCCCAAGAACAACAGGGACTGCAGGATGTAGCTTCTGGGGAAACCCAGAAGGACAAACCCTGTCACCCACGTCCAATTTTCAGGACTCATCTCCAATGACCTGGAGGAGAAATGAAATGAAACTTTGTAACTGGATCTATAGCCACAAATCATCATTTAACCAATCAATAAAATTATGAGAACCTAGTGTTTCCCCACATTCTGAGACTATATTAATCTTTCTGCTTATAGGTGACTTACAGAAAGAGACGCAAATTATGATAGCAAGCTGTATACCAATAATAACATGGATGATATTGAACACTAATTATGTATTAGGAAATTTGGATGCAATATCTCCTCTCACAGTGGCTCTTAAACTTAGATATAACTGTTCTCAATTTTTTTAAAGATTTTATTTATTTATTTGTCAGAGAGAGAGAGCACAAGCAGGGGGAGTGGCAGAGGGAGAGGGAGAAGCAGGCTCCCCACTGAGCAAGGAGCCCAATGCGGAACTCGATCCCAAGACCCTGGGATCATGACCTGAGCTGAACCAGACACTTAACCAACTGTGCCACCCAGGCATCCCCTTAATCCCATAGATAAAGAAAAGATGACTGACAACTCTCAGTGTTTTGTGGTCCTTCTGTGTCCTGGCTTAACATAAAATAATAATGAAAATCAGGGTTTTCAGTATCTTTATTTTTTTAAAAGATTTTATTTATTTATTTGAGAGAGAGAGAATGAGAGAGAGCACATGAGAGGGGGGAGGGTCAGAAGGAGAAGCAGACTCCCTGCTGAGCAGGGAGCCCAATGCGGGACTCGATCCAGGGACTCCAGGATCATGACCTGAGCCGAAGGCAGTCACTTAACCAAGTAAGCCACCCAGGCGCACTTTCAGTATCTTTAGAGATTTTATTTTCCTTAACCAGCCTCAGAGTCACAGGGGATGAAACTGTGCAGAGCCCCAGTCTTGTTTGGTTATTTTGTTGTTGTTATTTTTACCAAGACTTCCTTCTGTGGGTTACAGGAAATCCCTCTTCCTGGTGTAACATTGACTAGCTTCCCCTCATCCTCAGCTCTCCCAACATGTTTGTGGCATAAGATGAGGAGGGAGAGGGAACCTTACCAAAGGACACAGGCTGTAGCAGCTCACCTCTTCAACTATTGCCTTCATTTGGAGATATGTTCATCTTGTCCTTGGAGCTTTTGACATCTTGTGAAATTTACCCAGAAGTTTTGAAGGGTTAGGGCTCAGTAGACATCTTGGTTCTAGGATCCTTGTCTCACATCCAGCAGCAAATACTCAGAGTTTCATAGCTCTTGCCTGTCAATTTCATTGCCTGAAAATACATCCTAAGACAGAAAGAATGCAAGTTACCATCAAGTTACTTTACTTAATTGATGAGGAATGAAGTGTTCAGAACTTTGGCAAAGTTTAATCCAGCATCATCTATTACTCCAGACTTCCAGCATTAGAGATGAAGAACAAAAATATTTTCTCAGTTCTGTCTGAAGAAGCCTTAAGAAAAATTATCAGCCGAGGTAGAGAATCTTGGTTCCAAGGCTGAAAGAAAGAGACACTCAGGCTAAGTTCTGGTTATGTCAATAAGGAATAAATCCTGGGATTAAGTAGCTAGCTATCTAATAATAAAGCTTTATTCTGGAGGAGGAGCAAGATGGTGGAGGAGTAGGAGACCTAAATTTCGTCTGGTCCAAGGAATTCAGCTAGATAGGTATCAAACCATTCTGAACACCTACAAA